CAGCAATACATGATACAGCAATGCAGAATACCACTAGCTATAGAGAACTACAAATCCCAGCAATACATTATACAGCAATGCAGAATACCACCAGCAATAGAGGACTACAGGTCCCAGCAATACATTATACAGCAATGCAGAATAATATGAAGTTGCATACTCTGTTGCTCCAAGGGTGTGGCCTGATATCCCGAAGGTCTCAGGTGGGCAGTGCAGGGTCTCTTCTGGGGTCCGAAGGGTCTTATGGGCGACAAAAGTGATGTAAGCAGCACTGTGTGGTTCCCCAGGAAGGAGATGTGTGACTGATGCTGTAAACATGCGCCACAGTTCACAGGATGTCTGCTGAGGTCCCCAACAAGCACAGGACCTCAGACAGCCATTTTAGTTTGACATTTTAAAGTACCGGTGTTCTATCAAAGTTTGGGACTATGTTGGAATGTGTGACCGGTCACACATTTTAACGTAATCCTGCCCAGTTTTACAGCAGTGGAATATGTAATTGTCCATTATGTCAAGCATTCCAACACTTTGTCTGCTGTTTCAAGGCAGATCGGCTCACTGTGCAGGAGAATTGATCTGCATTATCTAATCTGCCTGGAACACCTGATTGGTCCTCAAATGTCAATTATATCCGACTTTGTGAGTGCGATCTCACATTCCACTGCATTCACAAAGTCAGATAGTAGTGACATTTGAGGACCGATCAGATGTTCCAGGCAGATGGGGTAATGTAGATCGGTTCTCCTGCACATGCGATCTGTGATGCTGATGTGTCCTTGAACAGCTGACAAAGCATTGGAATGCTTGACCTAATGAACTGTCACACATTCCAGCGTTGTAAAACTAGGTGGGGTTACGTAAGCATGTGTGACCACATGACCGGTCACACATTCAAACATAGTCACAAACCTTGATAGGACACTGGTATTGGTGTTTAGTATTGGGGCATTTTCACAAGTATGAGAACTCATGAAAATGTCCAGTATCGACACAGATACCGGTATCGGTATTGGTGCATCCCTACTTTTAAGCATTCAAGCCTGGGACAATGCAAATGAGAAAAAGCATGAGGAGTTTTCATTTTGTAAACTGTAGGATGGTATTAAAGAAAATTAGCCAAAAAGAGGAACTATATATTCCATGAAAAAAAGCCCCATAGTAAGCCCTGTCCTGCATGTCTGTTGAATAAATGATCATTATGGTTACTGAGGTTGAAGAGCACTGTATAATTGTATTAGTTGTTGTTACAGCTGGGAAACAAACAGTTAAACCCCTGTGCTGTCCATGAGGGCCAGTATCTGCTGAACTGGTGGTCTATAAATCTGATGGGTATTTAGCTGCACAGTGCACACTTTAGACAGTACGACAATCTCTAGTTTATGGCATTGCACCCAGAATCACTCTCTCTCTCTTCCCCCTCCTCTCCCCCCCTTCCCCTCAGAGCTCTGAGGGGAAGGGGGGGAGCACCACAAAAAAGTGTTCTGACAGTTCACAGACGATGTATTCACATGTCCTGCACCTCCACCTGGGACAAGGAACAAGTGTTAAAGGAGAAGTATGGGGTCAGTATTTTTCCCCATAGTTCTCCTTAGGGTAACGGGAGGACACAAACTAGCGCAAATCAATGCCTGCGATCCGGTCCAGTCAGAAAAAAATGCCGCAAGCATTTTTTTCTGACCGCAGGCATTGATTTGCTATGCGTTTCTGTGTGGCTGATCGCATTGCGGCCAGAGGGCGTGGCTGCGGTGCCATTTACTTCAACACACCGCCACACCCCCTCCCACCCCACAACAAATTGAACTGGCCGCAATGCGATCCAGCGCGCTCCGGCCACAATAGCGCCTGAACGCACTGAGGCTGGTGTGAACGAGGCCTTCTAAGTCTCAACTACGCAGCCCCTTAACTATATACTCAAATCCCACTCAACCTGTTGGTTGCCAATAGAACCTACCTGCTTCTGGCTCTTCAGGTGTGGTCCCAACGTGCTTGATGCTGCAGACTGGGAGGAGCGGGTCAGATGTGCCCAATGCTGCGGGCGGGGAGAGGCCAGTCAAATGTGCTGCACACTGAAGAGAGTGAGGAGCAGCCAATGTCACTACGTGTGGGAGGCAATTATTATTGGACGCTGATGAAGACGGAGGGGCGGGCCAAGTGTGCGGACCAAGTGTCTCGGTGTCTGTGCGGGTGGCGGCCACCACCTACCCGCGGCCACGTAGCGTGTGTTAGGAAAGATTATTGGCCGCTTCAGGCAGGAGGGGAGAGTCGAATGTGTCGGATGCTTTAGCGTCCAAGACATTCGGGTACACGGAGCGTGCGACAGGGAGTCGACCCGCGATCTACCAGCGATAGCTTTGCGATCGACTGGTAGATCGCAATCGACCTTATGGGCACCCCTGCTCTAGTCCAAAGAGTAGAGGGAGAACTTACTGTGAGGAGCTCCACACACTGCACATGACAGGCTCACATATATGGCCACAGTGCGGGCTCAGCAACTCCAAAGTCAGCAGCAAGGGGGCGGGGGCAGGGCGAACAATACATCTACATCTAGATCCCTACATCTGTTTGTTTGCAGCAACGGTGATACCATTTTTCCGTGCACCCCCCACCCAGCGCCCTCCCTTTTATTCCTGGGAAACACAACAACCTAAATGTAGGAACACAGCATCTCGTACAGCTGACCTACTCCATTTAAGGTACTTTGTTTTGAGGGACAGTCGGCAGAACATGGACTTTCTAGAGCACACTCCCTCTTATTTTCTGTGGAAGCACCCCAGGAGCTATCTTTCATTACACAATGGGAAACATTACCCCCTGAGCAATGGGAATGCATCATTTTCTTTGCTCATAAGGCCTCAGTTTATAACACTAGCTAATAATCTGGGTACATGATCTTCACTAGGTGGTACTACGCCCCCAGTCACACTCTCACCCCTCTGTTGGAGATGCGGCCAATACCCTGGCACATTGTGACCTATTTTTTGGTCATGTCCGAGATTGCAGAATTTTTGGGACTCCGTTGTGAGTATTATTTCCAAACTTACTGGATTACAATTAAGAGATGACTAGATTATATGACTGCTTTACTTTTGGATCAGTCACCACTTTCCAACTGCAAATATAAAAGATCTCTACTGCTTCACCTGGTTAACGCTGCTCCGACCTGCATTCCCCTGTACTGGAAAAGTACTGACCCGCCTTCACTTAGACTGTGGCTCCAGAGAGTTTACCACATTCGATTCATGGAAGAATTAACTGCTGCCCTTCACCATTCAGAAGAGAAATTTAAGAAAACGTGGTTCTACTGGGTGGACTTTCTGTATTCCACAAAGTACAGTGAACTCTTGCACACTGGATAAGCGTTCACCTGAGTTTTTGTTCTGTTTATCCTGATGTTGCCATGTTTTCAAATTATGTGGTTATCTCACCCAGCCCTCCACCTCTACAACCACTTCTTTCTTTCAGTACTTCATGTTATACTACCTCATCTCTCCTCTTCTCATCTCTCGTACATGAAACAACTATATATGGTACCATTTAGGGATGCACCGATATATTGGCTGCTGAAACATATCGGCCTAAAATGGCACTTTTGGCTAAATGTCGAAAGTGCCATTTTCTGCCAGTACATTGGCACATCCCTGCTTTCTGTCCTCCCCGCTGGGTCTTGCTCTGTGTCCCAGCGGGGAGGACAAAAACTGCCACAGCCGGCCGAGCGCTGCGTGAGGAGAGCTCTGTGAGCGGCTGGCATCTCTCCTCCCACACCGCTCAGCCTCCTGTCACAGTCCGGCAGAGCAGTGTGTCTCCTCCCTGCAACGCTCGCTCAGCCTCCTGTGACAGCTGTCAGGATGGAGAGCGAGTGATCGCTGAGTGTTTGTACATAACATGAGGACATAGTATGGTTACTATAGCCTCAATTATGAATGAATGTGAAGTGATCTACATCACCTCATGTTCATTCATAATTGTGGTTATAGTAAACATACTATGTCATCATGTTATGAATGAACAGGAACACTCAGTATAGAGGATTCCTGTTCATTTATAACAGGGGCTGCAGAAAAAGAGATTGATGACTCTGTGTCCTCACTCTTTTTCTATTTTAAAAAACAAAAATAACATATTAAAAAAAAAACATTTTCGGTTTCGGCCTGACAATTTTTTTAAAATTTGGTTTTGAAATTTCCATTTCTGTGCACCTCTAGTACCATTCCGATGAAGCATCACAAAACAAGCCTCACTCAAAATAGTATTAGCCGGATAGCCATATCTGCCTCAGGAGTTGTGATCTCCTGTCCTATTTATATACCATTAACTTGTTGGTGGTACATGTTGGTGTGACTTTATATGTCCATTTCTATGCTACTATGCCTTTTTTGTATTTAGTTTTTTGTACCTTTTATACCTTTGGAAACTTTAAATAAAGAATAAAAACAAAAAAAGTTACTATTTCACAATACATTTAATATTTTTCATTTCAATGTTTTCAAAACAATAAATGTATGTTTCAGACACTTGAGGAAGCTGTGTGGCTAAGCAATGAAAGTCTTCAAAATTAGAGAAAAGTTCAATGTGACTAGCTGCCTATGTCTTTATTCCACACTAACAAGAACATTGAACTTTCTTCTTTTTGTTTGTCGCCTTTCATCCAAAAGAAATTACTTTCTATTCCCTAGATGCAGTTAGAGCTTTCAGGGTGTCCCTGAATGCCACTACTTCCTTTCTGAAGTTGGGTTCCATGTTTGTCATTCAAGCTTCCAATGGGGCTATCTGCAGATGGATTTACCAAACCATTTCTCAATCTTATATTATGTATCTCCTTTACTGTTCACTCTACCAGTGTAGTGTTTCCTGGGCCTTCTGTTATGAGGCTTCAGGTCTCCTGGAGTTGGCAATAGTCCCCTATGTGTATGACTGTAAGGAGCTGTGTTCCTCAATGAGCATCAGAGAAAAGGATTTTACTTTGAATTTTATTTTTTTTATAATGTAAATGTTTTTTTTAGACATATTTGTGGGAAATTACAAGTGGCGTTGAAGACATTCCACCTGGCATAGCAAATAAAGAGCACATTATCTTTGGGAATATGCCGGAAATTTATGAATTTCATAACAAGTGAGTACTAAAAATTGAGTTATTATTGCAGTTTACAATTAAATAATGTTTTTTTTGACTTTCACTTTCACATTATTAAATATTAAAAAAGCACTATTGGTCCCCCTGGGCAACACTTTAACTTGATTCAAGTATTGCTGAGTTACAACCAGGTCAAAGTGAGAATAATTTAATACTTACGGACATGTCAGCATGCCAGACTCTTAAACTTCCAACTGCCCTCTGCTGTTGTGCCCTGAATCACTATATCACTGACAAATAACCACTAAAACTGTGGGCAGTAGAACTTCTTCTGAGATAGCTTCAAATGTAAACAATCATTGCTGAGGCTGTGATCGGGAGCCTCTTTCCTGCACATAGAGTTCAATAAAATCAAGAAGCTCTGACAGGGGACATAGAATGTTGTGGAGAACTACAAGTACTAGCACTTCCAGTCATCTAAGGCATGAGAGTAGTGTTAGCATTGGAAGATGAGGCTTGTGGCATACCCGAGCCTTAAATCACACAAGGTTGGCAGGATGTATAGTTCCTTCCTGCACAACACGAGCCTCCTCATTCAGACTGCTATTACCGCTGAACTAACTAGGGGAAGCAAGAAGGGGCAAAAACAGGTGAGTCTTCAACTTCCTTTACTCCCCAGTGTGTCCTATGTAACGTAGGGCAGCATTGGATTTTGTGCAAGGCGAAGACTCACAGGTATTTGACCTTTCCTACTGCTTAAACCTCCTAGGATTGAACAGCAGTGCACAGGGATGTTTTACACAGATAAATATTCCTCTTTCACTACTGCACAGTCTAAAATCAGTCTAAGCTCCTCTGCTGTCATCACTCCCTCCTTTTTAATCTATTCTGATCCCTTCTCAGGACTCCTTGTAATTCCTTGTCATTCTTAAATGTTTCTTTCCACACTGGCACTCAGTTTCTAGATTCCAGTCAGAAGACCACTGTTTCTCCAATTACAATGTTACAAGTTTTTTTTTTTAAATAAATGTCATAGGTACTTAGTGTGCCTATGGGAGAGCAATGTTTCCTGGAGATAATGTAACCCTTTCTGTATATCAGTTCTGTACCACTGATAGAGCTGATCTTTCGATCTAAAAAACTGAATTCTTGGGGAGGGGATTCCCTTGTAGTGGGCCCCCTTGTAGTGGGTTCCCCTTCTAACTGCAAGAGTTAACTGCTCATTTTACTTAGGGGATGATAAATAAGGTCATGCACTACCCTTTTTTGTCATTCCCACATACTTCCTCTTTGTGCGACCAGTCTCTTCGTCACAGCTCTTTGACATCTTCTACAATGCAAGATGTTGAGGGTCCTTAGCATATAAAAGTATCAGACAATTAAGAGCACTGGCTGTCTAGTGAGCAGAGAATAAGGAAAATAGACAACCAATATCTGACAAAAGAAGAGGGAAGGTGCATTTAATATATCTGACATGGAGAGAGAAAAAAAGAAACATATTAAGTTTGCAAAGTCAATAAATGTATTCCACTTAAGGCAGTTTTGGATATAGCACCTGCTGAATATTAAGGATGACTAGAAGATTCCAGGGTCGGAGTCTACAAGAGATGGAGCCCTGGACAGATGAGCCACAAACAAATGATTGCCATCCCCCTACCTGGATAATTGTGGGTCCCATTCAGGAACCGGAGACCATTAGGTCTAAAGGAAACATATAAACATTAAAATATCCACTATTCTCTCCCTTAGAACATTCTCTTGAGAAAGAGCATCTGTGCTCTCAGGGATTACCATCAGGATAAGATCTGGATAACCCACTTGCTGCTGATCCACAGGAAACTGTTGGATAAGAAAAAATTAATTGTCGGCCAGGGCTTCATGGCTTATAGTGTCAGCCATGAAATGCTGTGGAGTTCAGCGCTGAATCCTCGATTAGAGGTACCTCCGTCAGCATTGAGCAGTTCTCACATCCATGAGCAGACACTAAATCTATTGGAAAAAAAACATCATCTAGTTCAGTGGTTCTCAACCTTTCTAGGGCCGGGACCCCTTAGTAACATTTGCCAAGTTGTGGTGACACCCCAACGGTAAAATTTAGGGATGACGCGGCTGCTGCAGCAACATCTGGCGGTGTGGTGGGAGAACTGACACTGCTGCACTAGGAGAGAGCTGAGGAGGACTCTCACCTAACACAGCAGAAACCACACAGTGACCCACAGGTTGAGAACCACTGCTTAAAGGAGACAACGAATCCCAGTGGAATACAACAAATCGCAGCAATAGTCCATTATACTATAATGTTCTATTGCTGGGATTTGTTGTCCTCTATAGCTGGTGTTATTCTGCAGTGTGCTGTATAATGATTATACGGCGCACCACAGAATAACGCCAGCTATAGAAGTCTACAGCAAATCGCAGCAATAGTACAATTGTAGTCCTCTGTAGCTGGTGTTATCCTGCGTTGCGCTGTATAATGTATTATTGCTGGGATTTGTAGTCCTCTGTAGCTGGTGTTATTCTCCATTGCACCGTATAATTTATTATTGCTAGGATTTGTGGTCCTATATAGCTGCTGGTATTCTGCAGTGTGCTGTATAATGATTATACGGTGCAATGCAGAATACCACCAGCTATATAGGAATAAAACAAAACAAATCATTAGTCTGTATTGTTTTAGAAAAGCTGTCACATGACAATAAACAAAAATGTATCAGTACTTGTACCGGTGAGTACTTGGACAAGTATCAGTACTTGGAAAAATGGTACCGATTGGCTGGGAAGCCAGCTTCCCGGGCCAATCAGCATCCAGCCGGCCAAACAGAATAGAGTCGGCTTCCCGGGCAATCAAGAAGCCTTCCTGGCTTCCTGATTGCCCGGGAAGGCGGCTCTATGCTACCGGAAGTGCCGGTATCGGTACTCGGTATCGGCGAGTACCGAAATATAAGTATCGGTACTCGAAAAACCGGTATCGGTGCATCCCTAATACAGTGTATAATGTATTGCTGAGATTTGTAGTCCTCTCTAGCTGCTGGTACAGCACAATGTACCAGCAGCTAGAGAGAACTACAAATCTCACTTCCCCAGCAATACATTAATGCAGCACCATGTGGGGGGGGATGCAGGCTTACCTGAGCAGATATGTACGCCGTCAGAATAAAAAAACTAAAGAAAAACCACCATAGGAATGCATAGCTAGATTCCTATTGGCTATTTCACTTTGCAATGCTGCTGCTGCTGTCAATCATTAGAACTGGACCTGATGGAGAATTTCAGGTCCCCCTCTGCTGATTGGCATCAACAGAGGGCGGGCGCAATAGCTAGTTTGCTATTGGCTATTGCAAAGTGAAATAGCCAATAGAAATCTAGCTATGTATTCCTATGGGTTGTTTTTTTTTCTGACTAATGACGGCCTGCGGCCCGATGTCAGAAAAAAAAAAAACCCAGCAGATAAAGGTTTGCTCTGCTGTAAGGAGCAGAGCAAAGCTTTCCGGGAGAAAGTTTTTTTTTTCTCAAATTTACGGCCGCCTGCGGCCCGATGTCAGAAAAAAACCCCCACAGCGGATACAGTTTTGCTGTGCTCGATCGAGCAGGCGACCCCCGGCAAATAGTAATTCGACCCCCGACGGGGTCGCGACCCACGTGTTGAGAACCGCTGATCTAGTTGTTCATTGAACTAATACGGATGTTCCTTGGATCTGAAAGGCTCTCTGAACTCCAAGATGCTGAAGACATTTTTTCCCCCTGATGGACTGTCGCTGACCTTGGACTAAAAGACTTTTGAAGTGATTCGCACATAGGAATCCCTTATTAACATGCTATCTAGATAGGGACATAGAGAACAATTGATATAGGCTCACAGGCTTTAGCCACAACCAAGAATCTCCTATTTGGAATCATCCAGCACCAATTGCATTGGGATTGTTTTTTCCATCTTCTGAAGAACCCTGTTGGAAGACTCTAAGGGCCTGTTCACACGCCGTCCGTTTTCTGTGCTGACCTGATCCGTACGCTCCTGCACTAAAAATGCATCCCAGTGTATCCCTATGTGTTTTATGGGCTACAGTTCTCACGTGCGCAGTCCGTTCAGGTTACGACAGAAAAATACTACATTTTGTACGGTCAGGAAACGGTCCGGAAACACAAAACACGTCAAAAATGTGTCAAAAACGCACTGCACTGCAGTTAACATACTGACAGCCCCACGCCAGCAAAAAAAAAAAAAATATTGTTTTTAACTGAAACGTGGCAAAAACACATAGCACCACGTCTGCAGATCTGCACCTGATCCGGACCTGAAACTCATGTGAGCAGGCCCTTAGCCTCCAATAAGTCTAGTGTCACCATTTGAATTGATCCTGTCAACTTGAGACACTCCAAGGAGTTGTCCTGTCAACTTGGAACACCATGGGGTAGGATAGAGGCCTAATCTGCCTCAGTAAAAGACTAGACCACTTGGCTTTCCCCCTTGGAGATCATTTAGAATTTGATCAGAGCATGCTGATCAGCAGAATGCCGCTTCAACAGTCGGAATACTCGTTCACTCAAGAAGACTGTGACTGGAGGTAATATTTGGAAAATTACCTAGGATTGTGGCAAGGCCAAAGGGCAGGTAAACAAACCAAAGTGGAACTTTAGAACGGTAAGCAAGACATTTGATGGACGGGTGCACAATAATGTAAATACACATCTGCCAGGCACAGCATCCTATAGCCAGTTGATGGCTTAGTAACTGAATATAGTGATTCCATATGCAATATTTGGATCCTGATCCATCTGTTTAAAGTGTGCAAACCAAGACTAGTCTTAAGTCTCCTGGTTGTCCCACTAGGACAATATTTAGATAAAAGGTTTGATATTGATGATTAAGAGATACCACGTGGATATGTGTGGATATAGCATAGAGCTTCGCTTGCACCAAGGAACCTTAATGGTAATGAATGGACTGAGAAATGAGAAGAAAAAAACCTGACTATGTCCGTTTTCAACTCTTAACAGGACCCATGAGAATATACCCCGCACAGCATATGATCAAACTTTGT